GAGAATATAATAGCGACTTACAGAATCATCAAGATTTTTAACTCTCTTGATGTCTGGGTGAAAAATCACATCTGAGCAATTCATGCGACTCTATTCTCCATACATATTATATATTACAAATTACTCAATTTTTCATACAAGTTATTATATACACATCAGTAGTTCAGTTTTTTCTCCTTGTTGTTACACTTGAAATTCAGATTTATTTATTTATTTATTTATTTATTTATTTATTTATTTATTTATTTATTTATTCATTCATTCGTTCATTCCTCCGTCCGTCCGTCTGTCTATCCATCCATCCATCCATTCTTTATTTATTTATTTATTTATTTATTTGTTTGTTTGTTTGTTTGTTTGTTTGTTTATTTGTTTATTTGTGTATTTATTCATTCATTCATTCATTCGTTTATTTATTTATTTATTTATTTATTTATTTATTTATTTATTTATTTATTTATTTATTTATTTATTTATTTATTTATTTATTCATTTATTCATTTATTTATTTATTTTACAAAATCTGGGTAAATTTTATGTCAACAGCTCCTTTTACCAGGGCAAATTCAATACTTATTTTATCCACTGTATATATATATATATATATATATATATATATATATATATATATATATATAATGGAAATCACTTGTTGATCTCAACATTCATTCATTTTCAAAAAAAATCTACAATATCTTCAACAAATAAAGAATGTAATGTTAGAGCAAACATGTACCCAAAAGATACATTTAGCTCAATTCAAACAAGACATCGCTTTTATATACGCATAAAAAAAAATCCTTTAACTGAATTTGTTGTACATTCTCAATGTAATCCACTGAATCTGAGAATTCCTTAAGTGAATCACGCGTCCTTCATTCCATGCAGCAGATGGCACATCTGCTAATAGGCAGGCGATAATAATGCAGTTTACGGCTGAAATACAGAGACAGCATTAAACAATGTTGACTGTAAGCATGTTAGACAAGAATACTCCATGGCGGTCTCAACGGGGACAGCGGTGCTAATTACTGCAGAGGAGAAATTAGCCACACGCAAACATGCACACTTTCTCTTTCACTCTCTCTCTCTCCGGTTCCTCTTACAGAACTCCCTGCTCTCCTTGTATATAAAGTAATCAGGGTTCATTATGCCAAAATCAATGCGCAATGTAATTAAAGTCCTTCATACTGTAAAGCTTGGCTGTCTTAAACTCTTCTCTCAGGTTCATCTGCAGTTTTTTTCACCGCTACCTGTCCTTTATGTCAGCCTCACTGCAACAGTTCAATGACAAACCAACTCTCATTTCTCCCAAAAAAAAAAAAAAAACCTGAGGTACAGATGTAGAAAAATAGATTCTGGCCACATCGGTGGTGGTTTTCTGTCTCTATCTTTTTTTTTTTTTTCTCTTAGGTTCCGTCACTCCAAACCACTCCAGAGTACACTGGAGACCTCAAGATTAATTCATTTGATAATGGATGTGCTGGAGCTCACATTCTGGCTAAATGTCTGCCGGAGACACCATACAAACACGCACATAAACAAACAGCACAAATTCAAGCATATTGTTTATGGTTTTTGTGTGGTATTTGGCATGTCTCCGCGTTTGGCCTTGCCTTTCTCTTTTTCTCTCCCTCTCATAGATACAAAACTATTCCCATTCGCTTCACATGGAACACTTGGCAATGGATCTTCTGGAAACCTCCTGTAGTGCCATGCAGGCTCAGTTCCCTTAAAACCTTTAGCCTATCAGAGAGGGACATGAAACACAATCTCTGGCCCTCACCGCCTATCATAGTTAAGCATGAAGAAATGCTTCCCGTTGCCGACTGGAAGTGTAAAACTCAGGATGAAGGACTCTTCTGCAGCCTTTAGATAATGCAGCTGGCATGAAGCTGGATTGAGCTGAGATTTGAAAGAGGGTGAGAGAGAAGGATAGAGAGAGAGAGGTTGAAGGAGAAAGAAAATGAGAACAGGATTAAGTACATGAGAATGTATGACTGTATTCTTTAATTGAAAACGTCTTATTTCAGAAGTCAGTTGAGAAAAAAAAAAAGAACTGGAAAAAGATACATTATAGAATTTTTATCAGAATCCATTTACTTCAAAAATATTCAACTGAAATTAAGTGTTTAATCATTGTTTAAGCGTTTAACTGAACAGAATGAATTTCAGGACATAGACTGAAACTGAGAATTTAATATGTTCTATTTCAAAATTCACTCAGTTTCCACTCACCACAGCAGAATGAACCACCAATTACTCTGATATTTTTTTTTATCTATTTATTTATTTATTTGTTTATTGTGGCAGATGCACTTCCAGATGCAATCCAGCACTCAAAGTGCACTAACTTGTAAACCCCCAGTGCTGAAAAACAATTATACACTCCCTCATTTACACACACTATGGGCAATTTAGTCTATTAAATTCACCTAAAGCGCATGTCTTTGGACTGTGGGGGAAACCGGAGCACCTGGAGGAAAGCCACGCAAACATGGAGAGAACTAGCAAACTCCACCACTTGGTCCAGCCGGGACTCGAACCAGCGACCTTCTTGCTGTGACGCGACAGTGAATTATTAAATTTCTGTCATGACCACTCTCGGGATTTAGTATGGTTATGAATATGTTTATGGCAATGTTGATGTGTTTGGTCTTGATGGCAAAGATCTCTGCTGCTGCTTTGATTATTAAGGCAGAGCAAGTACTGAGACCTGTTACTGTCAGTATGCAGTACACAGACATGCCATCTGACAATACAACACACTGCTGCTGCAAACATAATATATAAAGTCAGAATTATTAAACGCCCTGTTTATTATTTTTTTTCCTCAGTTTATGTTTAACGGAGAGAAGATTTTTTTAAACAAATTTCTAAACATAATAGTTTTACCAACTCATTTTTAATAACTTTATCTTTATCTTTGCCATGATGACAGTAAATAATATTTTACAAAATATTTTAAAGACACTTCTATACAGCTTAAAGTGACATTAAAGGCTTAATTAGGTTAATTAGGTTAACTATGCAGGTTAGGGTAATTAGGCAAGTTATTGTATAACAATGGTTTGTTCTGTAGACTATCAAAAAATATATAGCTTAAAGGGGCTAACAATTTTGACCTTAAAATGTTTTTTTTTTTTTTATTAAAACTGCTTTTATTCTAGCCGAAATAAAACAAATAAGACTTTCTCCAGAAAAGTAAATAAGAAAAAAATATATTATCATACACAAAATTTAGCTGCTTTATTAAACATCATTTGGAAAATATAAAAAAAAAAAATTAAATAAATAAATAAATTCAAAGGGGGTTTAATAATTCTGGTTTCAACTATATGTAACCCCCGTAGCAGATCTAAACACAGGTGGAGCTGGGGTGGAGGAAGGTCTATAAAAATGCAGTGTAGCACAGCAGTGTAGAATGAGGTTGACCATTGGAAATGATGTGGAGCAAGCTTATTGGCTGCAGAAGCAACAGCAACCAATCTTTTGCGCCATGTAGTTAATGATGATGCAGGAGCAGATTAGGTGACCTATCAGCCTGCTTGTGCATAGGGTTTCATGGCAGAAAATTCTGTAAGAGATAGAATTGGTTTAATTTGATTTGAGCGAGTATAATAAAAATAAAGAAATATTGAATATCTGAATAATAATTTGATAAACTGACTAATAAAAATATGTAATGAATGATCATTGAACAAATCTAAATTTAAAAAAAATTCTAAATTTAAAAAAAATCAACTTTAAAAGAAGATTCAATAATATTGATTAAGATGAGATTCATAATTATTTTACTGGACTCAAATGAATCTTAAAAATCCTTCACTGGAATCAATATTTGTTGATATTCAGTTGAATCGAGTGAAATGTGATCCTGACACTAAGAAAGTAATTAGATAGTAAGTATGTATTAGATAGAAGTAAATATGATTCATTGGATTTACTTACTTTTTAAGATAACTTGTTGTAAACAATTTATATGGGCTGAACTTACACAAATAAATTAAATTTAGTAATGTTCAACTTATTTGTTTGTTAATATTCAGTCCATATAAATTGGTTGCAACCACTTGCCTTAAAAAAAACAAATCAGGCTCATTTTGAAAATGTACTACTAAGTATATACATTTCTGGAGTACCAGGAGGTACTTTTTTTAAAGTTTTTGTTTTAGCAAGTACACCTGAGGCTGCTGTGTACGCTTTTTCAGATCTCAAATTTCTCTCGCGAGTGCCATTTGTGCCTGCTCTTCTCGCGTAAATCCACCATTAGCAACTGTCAACTGACGGCGTTAGCCACCAAACAAACTAGTACCAGTGGGAAAGCAGTCCACACAGAGCTAAACAGTCAACTGGTAAGCCTGAAAAGGAACGACATCATGCGCGTCACAGCGTTCATTTTAATGTCGATATGCAGCCATATGTACATCTGCCTACAAAATTTGTGATCTCTAGAAATGTAGACAGGAGTACGTTTTCAGAATAAGCGTATGTTGTTAAAAAGAATTAAGTAAATCCAATTAATCGTTGTTGTTTTTTTCAGTGTATTTGAGAAAGTAATCTAAAGATTGCCTAAAGAGGAAGAAACTGCTTTCAATTCAGTCTGAATAAGAAGATAAAATGGATTAAATAATAAAGAACATCAAGAATTCTTCACTGAATTCAGCTAAATCTGAAAATCCTTCAATTGAATCAGTTGAATTTAAGGATTGTTTAGATAAATCTATTGAAATGTGAAAAGCATCACTAAAGTTAATTAAAGTTAATTAATAAAAAATGAGGGTGCTTTCACATCTGTAGTTCACTTTATTTGGTCCAGACCAAGGGACATAAATGATACATTGTTGCATTTGCTGCCGTCTTTGTGTCATTTTCACACCACACTGCTGGCTTTGGTCTGAACCAGTTGAAAAGAACCAAAATGCAGTCATGTGACAAAATCCACATCTCTTATTGGCCAGATGTTGTTAAAAATAGTTCCTAGACTGCTTACCGATTAGTCCGAATTCACATGCGGGAAAATGCCACTGAATTCTCGCAAGTAAACAAATCGGCAGACACAAACTGTCACTTTGTACTAGGGAGGGACGACTGCGCTGATGATTGTATCCCTGCTTTAGACAAACTATACATTTCTAGAATGAAGCGCGGCTGCGGCTGCGGCTGGAAAACAGTGTTTAATGCATCGCTCGTCACTTCAGGGGGAGCTGTGAATTAATTTAGCTAAACTGCAACATGGTCATCTTGTGGAAATATTACCAACGATCCATCAGGTAATGTTTTTCCCTCTCCCCCTCTCTGTTGGTAAAGCACTGTCAACAAATATTTTTCCTCCATATCCCATAATGCACAGTGCATTGGGCTATGGCAGCTGGATTAATCCAAAAGGCGCAGTACATTTTGCGGTTGGTTCTGTTTTAGTTCGGATCATATTCTCACCACAAACGAACCGCTCCAGGGTTTGTTTGAAAGTGTACCAAGACCACCTCATTAAGCAGGTCTCAGTACGCTTTTTTGATCTGCATTCACACCTGCTCAAACGAACCTCACCAAGAGGGAAAACAAACTCTAGTGCGATTCAAGCGAACTAAATCAGGCAGGTGTGAAAGCACCCTAAGAGAGATATTGAATCAAATAAAAAAAAAATGCAACATTAACTAAAAAGGGGGGAATGGTCTTTGTTAACTTTGACTTTAACATCATTGTACTGTGCCTTCATGTGTGTGTATGCATGTGCGCATGCGTGTGTGTGTGAGTGTGCGTGCATGTGTGTGACTTTATGTATACAGTATCAGGTTGTGTCCTTTTCTTCTCCTGCCAAAAGCTGCTGACAGGTGAAAAGACCTCAGTGCCACTCTGCTGGTGTCATATTGTGATGGGCACTTTGACAGTCAGTTCACTCAGCTGTGCCAAAGCTTGTTTTCAGATAGTTTAATACTAGACCTCTCTCACTTACTCACTCACTCACTCACCATTCAACCCGCTGTACACCTGAATATCCCTACAGTAACTCCATATTTTATGATTTTAAAGGATTTTTGTCAGGACAGACAAATAAAAAAAAAAACTCTCCTCCCAAAAATTAAATTAAATTAAATTAAATTAAATTAAATTAAATTAAATTAAATTAAATTAAATTAAATATAGGTGAATTGGGTGAGCTAAATTGTCTATAGTGTGTAAATGAGTGTGTTTCCCAGTGATGGGTTGCAGCTAAAATGACATCCGCTGTGTAAAACATATTTTGGATAAGTTGGTGGTTCATTCTGCTGTGGTGAAAAAAAAATGAAAAAATGAATATAATGGAAATGTATTAGATAAAAATGCATTATTATTGAATGGAGATAATGGAGATGTAACAACATTTAATGCTTGCATCATTCATTCATTTTATCGGAAGTCACAGGAAACACACTACAGTTTTAATTAAAGCTAAAGATGTCAAAAAACCTTTTAATTTTCACTGTAAAAATGCCTTTCTTACTTCGATTTTGTTTTCTTTCTAGTCCAAATATCTAACTTTATGAATATGTAAATACTAATGTTAACTAAAATCTCCTCTGCGGGAATTGGTTTTCAGCTTTTTTACCCTAAGGCATTTGTTTGGAACCATATAATACACAGCATGTTGCTCAATTAATTAAATACTTGATTTGAATAAATGAATTAGAAATCACAAAAAAGTAAGAATGTACTTTAAAGTCTGTTCAATGTTAGATTGCTGTATAGTATAACTAGCTGACAGCTGGGCAAATAATTGTGTGGAATTAACAGAATAAATAATAGAATTAAAAGGTTTTAAGAGGAATAAACTGTTGTTGAGTTTCCAGTCAAACTTGATGGTAAATTGATCTGTCACTTCTTAATGTGGCAAATACAAACAAAATAATTGGACCATGATGTGTCTGATTGGATGATAAATCACATCTGCTATTGTTTTTAAAAATTGTTTATTTGTTTATCTTTTCATGAGTATGCATATTGCTGCTTTTACGCAGATCCTGATGATGTAAAAACACTTAATTATTGGGCCTTTTTATACAGTAAACTATTTAGTTGTATTAGAGGGGGAAAAGCTGTAAACTCTTTACTAGATTTACTTTATGTATTATTATTATTATTATTATTATTATTATTATTTATTTTTTATATAATTTTTATTATTTTATTATTATTTATTATTATTATTATTTATTATTATTATTATTATTATTATTATTATTATTGCTGTTGTTATCATGTTCAGTTTTTGTTTTAGTTTCTATTTTCTTGGACTTTTAATTGTAGTTTGTTTTCTGTTTTCTGTGTTTCCATTTTCAAAATGTAAATCATTGTTTCATTGATTGCGCTCACCTGTTCCTTGTTTAGGTCATCAGTTAAATTGTATAAGCCCTCATTTTCTACAGTTTCATGCATTGTCTTAGATTTTTTTTTTTTTTTTTTTGTAGCTTGTTTTGCCCTATTTTGATGACTGTTATATTTATATATTTTTTAAAAAGCCTAACTGCCTGTAAAATATATATTTCGTTTTCTGCTCTGTACATAATAACTGTTCTTCTAAAAGTTTTATATAATTTTTTTAAGTTATTTTGTATAAAAACGATTAGATTGAAAAACTGTTATTTATGCTTTTTTGTGCTTTGAGAATCAGCTTTGAAACACCACAGTTTTATTTTGGTAGAAAACTTGCCGTAATTTTGAAATGCTTCTCTGTTGATGGCCACAGCAGATTTATAAAGCGTTCTCATTACAAGCTAGGCCTTCTCAAATGGCCATTGTAAGTGGCTCAAGTTTAAAGCACTTTCAGAGATGAAATTCATGTGGATCATTTACTATGAACAGAGTCGCTTTGAGACACTGAAAACACACTTATCATGAGCTTCCCATGTCAAAACATCATTAGCAGATTAAATATTTATATATTCTCCATGCATTCTTATTCAGTATTTTGTGTTTTATTCTCATAACTCAAATTATTTCAATTATGTTTTGCTGCTTGTGTAATTTATTATTATTATTATTATTAAACATTATTAAGGTACTTGTCAAATTTGACAATTATGTTTTGCTGCTTGTGTAATTTATTATTATTATTATTATTATTAAACATTATTAAGGTACTTGTCAAATTTGAACTGCATTATTAAATATTCTGGTTGTCCAAATCAAGTGATTAAGACAAATTTTGTCAAAATAATTCAAATAAAAAGTATTATCAAAAAATATCAAAAAAAAAAAAAATATATATATATATATATATATATATATATATATATATATATATATATATTATAACAAAATCTGGCAAACACAAAGTATATTTTGAGTTTGATTGCATTTCTGAGCTCCTAATGTCGCTATTTAACACATTCAATGCACTTTTTTCGACACATCCCATAATTTCTAAAATATCAACCTCTACCAAATGGTTGATATGTCAGTTTATGCTAAAAGTACCGCAATTAACACAAATACTTTAAAAATAAAAAAAATTAAGTGTAAGATCAATTTATTTAAAATATATTCAAAATAAACCATTTCTGAATGCTAAATCATTTTTATTTCTTTGAAGTTTGCCATAGAATATTTTAGATTCTCATTTAACATGCTTTCTTGTTTTTTTTTTTTTTGTTTTTGTTTTTTTTTGTTTACAACATTCTTTAAAGGACTTTAACAGTAATTATTTACAACAGTCAAAATATGGTCAACAATTTGGTAGAGCAGGCGGTAAAAGGGTTAAAATAAAGTGTTACCGGTGAAGTTTCTATTCTGTTATCCCCGTAGAAAGAGGTAAACTATTACACAATTAGGGGCTGACAACGGCAAAATCTTGGAACATAAAGTACTGTATACCAAGTCCCCAACACATTTGCTGCTTGACAAGTGTTTATTCCAGTCCCTATTTACTAACAAATTCTTCACCTGACCTTGAATTGGCATATCTAAACAATCTCTTTACATTTTTCTTCTCTTGTGTCTCTAGGTACGTCCACACCTTGTACCTGGGTGTGCAAAGTCGCTGGCATGGTGGCCCGGGTCAGCGTCATTTCTACTGGCGCCTGATGTTCGAGAGCGCTGACATCAACATGCTGCGTCTGCTGGAGGCTTTCCTGAAGAGCGCACCTCAACTAGTGCTGCAGCTCAGCATCATGATCCACAGCAACCACATACTGCCACTGCAGGGTGAGAACACACACACACACACACACACACACACACACACAGTTGGGTTTTTAAGTTTAATGGGGACATCCTATAGCTGTAATATTTTGTTTACAGTTTAGACTGTGTATTACATCCTCCTCTTACAAAACTCCCTCTAAACACAACCCTGACAGAATACATCACACAGTTTTACATTTTCAAGTACTGTATTCTATGATTCATAAGGTGTTTTTTTTTTTTCATGGGACCAGAAAAAGGTCAAAAACTACTGGTATTAATACATTTGTGGGGACCACTCACAAATATTGTACAATATATAAACACACTCATGCGTGCACACAAACTAACACATGCATACAAATATCCATAAAGGCCACATACCCACATACACAGACCCAGGCGGACACATGAGATGCTTTTAGTATAGCATATTTAATGAGACGTGCTGAGAGAGAGAGAAAGAGCGAGAAAAGCGAGAGAGACTGAACACTTGTGTGATTGCACTGTGATCATCATGACTTATTCATACTGCCACTCGTGAGAAGAGGGTTTGCTTGTGATGAATTAAACAAAACGCTTAACACGTTATGCTCTGTGCAATGACATATGACATGAGTTTGGCACCATTGATACATGCATGAAGAAAAAAAGGAGAGTGATAGATGTTTTTTTTAAGAGATATTGCCATAAAAAGATGTCATGTACAGAGAATATGGATTTATCAGTAACAAATATGATTATATTTAATTTTAATGATTTATATTTATTTACTAGTTTTATTAAATTAGTATTGCATTCCTACTTATGACTTATTTAATGAAATATATACTAATAATTTACCATTTTACTATATTTTTATTTAAAATAAATGTAGCCTTGGGGAGATGCTTCTTTCAACTATACATCAAGGATTAGTTCATCCAAAAATTAACAATCTGTTGTTAATAACTCACTCTCATGTTATTCCAGTCTGCAGAGACCTTTGTTCATCGTTAGAACACAAATGAAGATATTTTAGATGAACTCTGAGAGCTCCCTCATACACTTACTGACAAAAATCTTGTTGTAGATTCCAGTTGTAAGAGCAACAAATTAGAACTTGACTTTTAGTTGATCATTTGGAAAAGTGGCAGATTTTTTTTTCCAATAAATCATCTGTTGAGCTGCATCCCAGTCATCAGAAATATTGCAGAAGACCTATTGGAACTCGCATGGACCCAAGATTCTCACAGAAACCAATCAAGTTTGGTAATGGAAAAATCATGGTTAGGAGTTCCATTCAGTAAAGGGGTCTGCAAGAGATCTGCAGAGTGAATGACATCAACAGCCTGCTGTTTCAAGACATTTGTGTGTCCTTCTCATAATTCAGCCTCCACATCAAAATTCCTGAAAGCAAAGAAGGTCAAGGCCAGCCCAGTCACCAGACATGAACATTATTGAGCATCTCTGGGGTAAGATAAAGAAGGAGGCATTGAAGATGAATCCAAAAAATCTTGATGAACTCTGGGAGTCCTGCAAGAATGCTTTCTTTGCCATTCCAGATAACTTGTGTCCAAGCAAAGTCAGACCTTACTGTACTAACTAAGCAATTAAAAATTCATTCATTCATTCATTTTCTTGTGGGCTTAGTCCCTTTAATAATCCTTGCCTCAGCGGAATGAACCGCCAACTTATCCAGCTCGTTTTTACGCAGCGGATGTCCTTCCAGCCACAGCCCATCTCTGGGAAACATTCACACACACTCACTCACACTAATACATTATGGACAATTTAACCTACCTAATTCACCTGTACCGCATGTCTTTGGACTGTGGGGGAAACCGGAGCACCCGGATGAAACCCTCACGAACGCAGGGAGAACATGCAAACTCCACACAAAAAGCCAACTGACCCAGCCGAGGCTTGATTCAGCGACCTTCTTGCTGCGCCACTACCTACTACCTACCTGCGCCACTGCCTCGCCAGTAATCTTAACAATAAAATGAAAACATGATTTATGAATGAACTGCCTATTTTTATTCTGATATTGACAACTTAACAGACAGCAGAAATGTTGAGACATTGTTTAGCTACATATATATATGAGCGTCATCTACACTGTATGCATATTTATACAAAACCACTGCCTCCTTTCATATTCATTGAAAATAAGAAACAAACCTTCTCTTTTGCTGAATATAAGTTTTAAAAATCAATAATGGCCATTACAAAAGTATAACATACAATACATTATAATGAATAAAAACAAGCAACCAGTCAATATACAAAATGTATGTGGTTACATTAGTTATTAACTTATCGTTGCGTTCAGCCAAAAATGCTACCTGACAACAAATAATAGATTCAAAAAGTCGGGGAATATGTTGTTAGATATAGACAACGAGATAAATTAAATATCATGTTTAACAAATATAGTGAGATCAGATCCAGCGGTAGATCATTGATAACAAGTCCAAAGAGCACAGCTCTCGTAGATGCTGCAGTGCATAGACGGAGAGTTGTTCAGAAACGCTGGGTGAAACGCTAGTGTGGATGCGGATCGCGGATTTCATTCTAACGCCGTTTTAAAACTAAACGTACTACTGTAAACGGGGCCTCAGATGATTGAAACAACACAAGGGTGAGTTATTGATTTTTTTGGGGGGTGAACTAACCCTTTTTTCATTTATTATTATTATTATTATTATATGTTTATTTGTTATCGAATGATGGGGAAAAAATCTTTCAAAGTAAATGCTGAAAATCAGAAACAGGAATTTCCTTTCTCGGAAAGTCACCAAACACCACTGAAAGAGAGAGAGAGAGAGAACAGTTCTCTGGAGACACAAAAGATGAGAGGAAAACGGGAGTCAGCAAAAAAAGAGGAGAGGAGGGAATGAAAGGGAAAGAGCACAGTCTGGATGGAAAGCGCACAGGGACATGCTGTAGGACTGAACAGACTCAGAGATGTTCTGATTAATTCTGGGTCATGGGTTTGGTTACCAACTACCACGCAGAAAGGCTTTCTCTTGTTCTTCTTATCTTCTTTCGCTGGCTTTTTCTCCGCTTCTTCCTCTGATCCCATGGCCCTGCCTGTCAGTCTGACTCACACCTTTGACCTTTACATTGTGTCAGTGAAGTCTATGTGAAAGTAAGCATCTGTATGCCGTGCTCGTGAAGAGAAGAGCACTTGAAATGAGCACTCTGAAGTGTACTCTTTTTGATAACATTGATGTTCACATATCTTTGCTTTTTTACATTGCTTTTCAGAAAGTTGTAGGTTAATTTCAGGTATGGACCCGATTAAGAGACGACAATGTGGGCATACAGAATAAGGCAAAAGTATGTGCTTTATAAGTACTAGTAAGTAGGTAATATGCAACCTAATAACAAATTAGTTAGTTATAAATTAGTTATTATTACAGTAGATTATTTGAATATTGTATTGTTACAGGGCGAAGCAGTGGTTCAGTAGGTAGTGCTGTGGCCTCACAGCAAGAAGTTTGCTAAGTTGCTGGTTCGAACCTCGGCTCAGTTGGCGTTTCTGTGTGGAGTTTGCATGTTCTCCCTGCCTTCGCATGGGTTTCCTCCAGGTGCTCCGGTTTCCCCCACAGTCCAAAGACATGCGGTACAGGTGAATTGGGTAGGCTAAATTGTCCGTAGTGTATGAGTGTGTGTGTGGATGTTTCCAGAGATGGATTGTGGCTGGAAGGGCATACGCTGCGCAAAAAGTTGGTGGTTCATTCCGCTGTGGTGACCCCGGATTAATAAAGGGACAAAGCCGACAAGAAAATGAATGTATTATTTCAGTTTTGTTTTTGCCTTCTGATGTTTTAAGACATGTATGTATATGTATACATTATGAGTCAGAAATATATGTACACTAACGCTGATGATTAATTTTCACCATTTTTATTCAGAGAATAAATTCGTACAGTTGTTTGGGAACTAACAGTTTATTCATCTATTCATTTTCTTGTCGGCTTAGTCCCTTTATTAATCTGGGGTCCTTACAACGGAATGAACCGCCAACTTATCCAGCACGTTTTTACGCAGCGGATGCCCTTCCAGCCACAATCCATCTCTGGGAAATATCCACATACATACACTCATTCACACTTATTCACCTGTACTGCATGTCTTTGGACTGTGTGGAAAGAACTAACAGTTTTAAAAATGACTGGTGTGTCAGATGAAGATGACTTAGAGTCAAAGAGTCTTTCATAGAATTACTGAAGATTTGCAGGTTCATCAGTCAGAAGCCAAAATGAGTTCTACATCAACAATTACAGTATACTTTAACACAGGGGTTCCCAAACTTTTCAGCTCGCGACCCCCAAAATAACAATGCCAGTGACTCGCGACCCCCAATATCCTCTGAGGTGGTTATAAATACAGAAACCTTGCATGTAATGGCGCATACACCAATAAACCAAAGTCTTTTCTTCATTTTATTTTTTTTTAAATGTATGTCAGTGCTGTTAATGTGCCAGAAAGTTTAACCTGGTCTTATAAAATCAATCTGCTGCATCCGACGCTATTACTGAGTCTTTAATATAATGTAATTACCTGAGGGGTCGCAATCCAATAGAACTATAAGCTTATAAAGTTACTATTTACAGTAGTGTATATAGTAACTGTAAACCACAATTTCTTTAGTAGGTTATGGAGTAAAATGGTAATTCTTATGGTTTAATAAAAATAAATAGATTTTTGGAAATCACCAGGTGACCCCTCCTTCATTGTCCCGCGACCCCTCGGGAGGTCCCGACCCCCACTTGGAGAACGACTGCTTTAACATACCACACTGTGTCATATGAATAGGTGTTTGCACGAGTCTGAACAATCTTTTATTTTATTAAGTCCTTTATTTCAAAAAATGACCATTTTCTCTTGCTTATGTCTCGGACCGCCCAAATTTAAGCCACAAGCAGCAAAACGAGGAAACAGACGTCTTTGTAAAGTTTCTTACCTAAGAGGAAAAGACCCAGTGAACGACTCACAAACTGCCAAGGTATGGATTCGCAACCCATTTGTCA